TCCTAAGGGGGTCACTTGTCAATCGGGGGGAGACCCCTCTGTAGCCCTGGGGGGGGTGTCTCGTCTCCATCCTGGAAGTTGAGCCGTTAAGGCTCTGTGCCAGATTGCCTGGCCTCCCCCTACCGTCTGCAGGCCTGGCCCCCCCATTTCCTGGCCCGTTTCCTTCTGTCCCACCCTCAGGTGGTCCAGCCAGGGACGTGGTGGGCAGCAGAGAAATCGAGTGAGGACAGTGGATTACTTGCCGTCCGGGGACTCGGCTGGTGGCCACTTATTTCCTCCCAAAGGCCCATTGTGGTGCCGCTGCCCCCAAGCGCCGACAGGGAAGGGACTGGGGCACATAGATGTTTATGCTTTAGAGCGGGGGTGGGGATGATGCCCCTTTTATGATTTGTGGACTTCAACTCCCAGAATTCCTGAGCCGGCCATGCTCAGAAGTTCATGCTGGCTCAGGGATTCTGGGAGTCGAAGTCCACCAGTCATAAAGTGGCCACGGTTGGGGACCCCTGTTTTAGAAGACAGGATAATGCCACCTCGTCAGAGGAACAGGCTGGTGCTGTTGTCTTCTCTCCCACGTTGTACGCACACACACACTCACACACAAACACATCCCTATTCTGTGCCTAGCTGGGGCAGGAACCCGGGAAGGGCCGAGTGATGGGTTAGACAGCGCAGGAGCAGGCAGGTCCTCGCGGTCAGCTGGGGCATCTCAGGATCCTCAAGAAGGGCGGGAAGAGGTGGCAGCAGCCCTCCTCACATGCCTGTGGAGGAGAAAAGACCCTCGTTACCTTGCCCTGCACCGCTGGGCAGTCCTCTCAAGAGAAGGGGCTCCGGGGGGGGCGTCCCTGCGATCCCCCTCCTGGAGGGCTCAGGACAGCTGGCTTTCACCCCCAAGAGCCCCCTCCCCAACCGGAGCTCTGCCAATCCAAGCCCTGGAGACCTTTCCTGCCAGTGGAAGCAGGGCCCCTGTGCTCTGCCTCCAAAGTAAAGGCATGAATGCTGGGCCACCGACTCGGCCATCCCTGGGTGCCGGGGGCCCCTGGCGGAAAGACCCTCAGCAGCCGCAGAGACAACCGAAGGGATGCAAGGCCCGGCCTGGCCTTCACACACCTGGCGAACCCAAAGCCTCTTTTCCCCCACCTGGTGGGAAGGTGGCTACCCTGGAAGGGTTTGGTCAACCCCCGATTCGCAGTCTGCTCTTTCAAGGGGGGGCAAGAGGCGGACCGAGCCAGGGACACTTATCTGGGGATGTCAGGGACTCTTCCGAATCGCCTTCATGGTCCAAGCCTAGCAAGGGAACAGAGCAGAGCACGATTCAAACACAGGACCCCTGGCTCTATACCCACTAACCACCCCTCCCCCCTCCGGCCAGCCCTAACCCACAGCCTGGTGGACCCTCCCCTCCCTTGAGAGCCTGGACCCAGGACCGGTGCAGAGCGTAAGAAGAAGGACGCTGCCCTTCCTCTCCAAGTGCTCCGGTCACTGTGATTCCCAATCCAGGGAGGACTTACTTTCCTGGGACTCCTGCGAGTGGGCCGGATCCTCCATGGCTGGGCCTGTGAAAACAAAGACCCGGTCTCTTCCCTGCCCGAGCACCAAAACATGGCGAAGGCGGCTGGCAGGGGAGGATGGAACCCGGTTTTTGACTTCGCAGGCCAGGAAGAGCTTCCGTTGTTTTCTGGGAAGCGAGAGCCTGACTGGAGATGCCCAGAGAAGCTCCCTCTGGCCGGACAGCCCCGGGAAGCCCTGGGCATCTTGGCCCAGCACAACTGGGGCCCGCCAGCCTTTGGGGCTTCCCTCCCAGCTGTGGGACATGGGGCCGGCCCCCCTCCCCTGCAGCAGCTC